GAAGGAGTGCTGGTTTGCGTCCCAGCGACCTCTCTTCCCACCCGGCTCCCTGCTTGTGGCCTGAGAAAGCAGTCAAGAATGGCCAAAGCCTTGGAACCCTGCACCCACATGGGAGATCCAAAAGAAGCTCCTGGCTCCTGGCTTTGGATCAGCTCCACTCCAGCCATTGAGTCTACTTGGGGAGTGAACCAGCAGATGGTAGATCTTTTCTCTGTCTCTCCTCCTCTCTGTATATCTGACATTCCAATAAAAATAAAATAAACTTTTTAAAAAATGGTAGTGGGTGTGACTGGAGCACAAAAGAAGAAATTCACTGCTGGTGGACATCTCTCCCTCGCCTGCATCACGCTCAGCATCCCACTTGTGATACTGTGTTAGCTGTGCAGGAGAGACCCACCCAGTGAAAACTGGGTGCTAAAGGGAACACAGATGTCCCATTACTGTTTATTATAACCAGGTATTCCTCTAAAATTGTCTAAAACCAAAATAAATAATAATCCCAGGCAAGCAACTTTGCCTCTCATAGAGGATTACAATAAGCAGCAAAGGACTAAGGGGAGTGGCCGGCTATTCAAGTCACATGTAGGAGCGATGCGAGTGGGAGAAGGAAGGGTCCAGCCACAGGTGACAGCACTGATGCCATCTGCTGTCCCAGGGACATGTCCCGGACTGCAAGGGCAGTGGATGGTTCCCTGGGACCATAAACACATTTACAGCAGGAATAAGGTGGGATGGAACATGAATGGACCATAAGAGCAGGCTTCCCAACAGGAAGGACGACAAGGGTGCAGGTAGAGAGAGCCCACCAATGGCAGGCTCAGGACAGCAGCCAGGCTTCCCTGGGCTCTGGGAAGGAGGCAAAGGTGCAGCTCCCGCCTGGACTGAGGACTCCAGCCCCCGTGAGGTCAGTGCCTGGACCACAGTCAGTAAGATGGACAGCTTCCGGGTTCAGACTCAAGCTTCTTTTTTTTTTTTTTTTTTAAAGATTTATTTTATTTTTATTGGAAAGGCAGATATACAGAGAGGAGAGACAGAGAGGAAGATCTTCCATCCGACGCAGCGGCCGATGATGCTATGCCGATCCCATGCCAGGAGTCTCTTCCGGGTCTCCCATGTGGGTGCAGGGTCCCAAAGGTTTGGGCCGTCCTTGACTGCTTTCCCAGGCCACAGGCAGGGAGCTGGATGGGAAGTGCGGCCGCCAGGATTAGAACCGGCGCCCATATGGGATCCCGGGCGTGCAAGGTGAGGACCTTCACCACTGCGCCAATGCACCGGGCCCCAGACTCAAACTTCTTGAGATGAACGTGGGGCTCCCTTTTCCAAACCCTTTCCTTGTAGGGAAACCCATGGGGAACTCTGGTGCTGAGGCCTAGAGGCAGCAGAGGACAGCAAGCCCTACAGGGTTCCCTCTGTCCCCAACCCAGGAGGTGCCTTCTATGGTCTCCACAGACTAACTTCCCCTAACCAGGGAGCAGGCTGGGGGCGGGCTGCCAGGCGCCCACCTGCCGCCTCTTGTTTCCGCAGATGCCTGGGTGTCCTCTACCAGAGCACCCACCACCACCCCATCCCATCCCACCTCCCTGCTGTCACTCACACAGCACACCAACTTCTTCTCAGCCAGCCGCTGTACACAACATGGCTGCTGTTCATGCTGCCGCAAGTGGACCGTGCCTACTGGAACCAAGGGCTGGGGACCACAGCAGGATATGGAACCGTCTGAACTCTAGGGCGAGGACCAGAGATGCACCCGGGGCAGGGCAGTGCGGGGCGGGTCAGGAAGGTCCAGGGCTGCAGAAGGTGGACTCCAGCTGGCCTGAGCAGAAGCAGAGCCAAGCAAGGCAGAGTCGTGGCTCCTCCCTGGACCCTTGGTAACTGATGGCAGGGAGGGGCCCTCTGCCTCAAGTCAGGGTGTGTCTGCAATGAGTGAGCCTCTTCCCAACAAAGATCGGAAAGAGGGAGTGAGACCTCAGTGCCAGCAGTTCTGTTTCCATGTGGACCTCACACACGTGCAGACTGGGCAGACGCCTCAAATGCACCTGGGAACTCCCTAAGTTCCGAGCCTCTGGCAGCTCGCAGCTGAGTTTCTTAGCCTGTGAATGTGGGCAGCACGGATCTGCTCCTCTGCCTCCCTAGAAGAGAGTATCGCTTTAAGGTTTGAAGATGCACCAAGGGGAGATTTTTGTTTGTGTGTTTAATGTTGAGGTTGTTGCCTAAGGGAGGGAGAAAGATCCCAATATATTTTTTAAATGATTTATTTATTTTTATTGAAAAGCAGATATACAGAGAGGAGGAAAGACAGAGAGGAAGATCTTCTGTCTGATAGGGGAGCTTCTTATAAAACCTCTCATAAACCCAGTTTTCAAGGACAGGCCATGCTTGTCTTTTTTGCTCTGCCAGCTGTTGCATGGCTCAGCACCTCAGCCACAGCACTGGATTGGCCCATATTTTTGCAGAACCTGGAGGTGTAGGTTTTTTGAGAGAAGACCCTGACTCGTTACTTAGAATTGCATGGAAACAGAGAAGCTTGAATTGGGGGGCAGGAAGGTCGTCATTAATTAGGTCTCCTAAAATGTCTTGGTTCTCCAAACTGGCCAGGTGGTGGTGGGGGGGGGGTCCACTCCTACTCTTTCTCTATCTTTCTGTTACTGGGAAGAGGAAATGTGGCCTGGGGGAGGGTGGACTGCAATATCCCTGTGCTTGGAAACTTTGTAACAAGCAGGTGGGCCTCAGCCAATGACATCAGCCCAGACTCTCTGCATGGCAGACAGCTAAAAGTTTCCAGGAAGACAGGCAACTTTTGTAGCCAGTGAAGCTGTTTTTGTTCCTCCCTTCTCTTTGTTTTCCTTCAACAGTGTGCTGAGGTTTTTGAGCTGGGGCTTTTTCCTTCTTAACAAACTGCCTCATTCAACTTGTCTAAGTTGTTTTTCTATTTTCACACTAACTTGATACTACAAATGTGTTTTCATTTTGTGTCGAATTGATTTACACCTAAAGGAATCTAATAACATTTTAGTTGAAATAATATTTCCTATATACATTGACAAATCTTATGCTTTTTAAAGACGTTGTCCTTAAGTCACTACCAAGCAAAGGCTTATTTTGGTGCAGCAAGGTTAGTTACCATTTGAGATATCTGCATCCCATCTCAAGAGTGCAATTGGAGTCCTGGGTGCTCTACATTTTTTAAAAAGTATTTATTTATTTTGATTGGAAAGACAGAATTACAGAGAGAAGGAGAGACAGAAAGATCACCTATCTGCTGGGTCACTCCCCAAGTGGCCACAACAGCTGGAGCTGTGCTGATTCAAAGGCAGGAGCCAGGAGCATCTTCCAGGTCTCCCATGTGGCTGCAGGGTCCCAAGGCTTTGGTCTGTCCTCCAAGCAGGAAGCTGGAAGGGAAGTGGAGCAGCCAGGATGCAAACGGGTACACACATGGGATCCTGGTGCAAAGTAAGGACTTTAGCCATTAGGCTACTGCACTGGGCCCTGGGCACACTCCTTTTGATCCAGCTTCTTGCTAAGGCATCCTGGGAGGCAATGGATGATGGTTCAGGTGCTTGGACCCCTGCAACCTCTATGGGAAATTCAGAGGGACTTCCAGGCTCCTGGCGTTGGTTACGCCCACTCTGGGGAATTAATCAGCAAGCAGGAGTTACCTTTCTCATTTTCAAATCAGTGAAAGTAATAAATATTATCAGTTAATCCTTAATTTTTACAAAGAATGTATGAATTTAAAGACTGACATGCATACATACATTTCAATGAACGAACTTTATGTGCTGATCTAATGCAAATTGTGTAAGATCTGGACTTGCAAGGTGCTTTTTGAATTTTCACAGGGAAAACAGCCTTAAAATTCTGAAATGCAGAAAACAGATGCTTGCATGCATTCCAGTTTTGGTTTTTGGTTTTGTAGACTTACATAGTGTCATTCTAGTAAGATTTGTATAAGATCATTGACGGCATTAACTTTAAACAATTGTTCTTTCCAGTCACTTGTTATATACTCCGTTGATAGTTTTTGAGAAATCTTTGGAAGTTCGACCGCATTAAAGCAGAATCCTATGGCAGGCTGCTTAGGCTCGGACTGTGTCCTTGCTGTGGGTGGGGTTTGTGTCCACTCTAGGTGGAAGCTCCCTTTGGACTGAGCAGTAGGTTAAGGCCGGCACTAACACACATTTGTCTGTTTCTTTTGTTTCTTCTGGTTTGTTTTGTTTTTTGATTTTTTAGTAAGAAGATAAAATAGTGAGACTGGCTTGGCAGTTCAACAAGCTAAACCTCTGCCTTCAAGTGCCAGCATCCCACATGAGGACTGGTTCAGATCCCGGCTGCTCCACTTCCCATCCAGCTCCGTGCTTGAGGCCTGGGAAAGCTTACCCTTTTATCAGCCATTAAGGACCACAAACAGCAGGCAGGCAACTAGCAACTTCGACTAGAGAAGTGCAGACACACAAGAAAGGGGCGGGGTTAAGTGGCCTGGCTTTTGGTGCAGCTCCCCTGGGACACCAGCATCCCAGGTTTGTGCAGGGGGTTCAGTCCCAGCTGCCCTGTGGTTCCCGAATGGCTCAAAGATCAGGGCTGGACCAGGCCCAAGTCAGGAACTTCATCAGGGTCTGCCTTGAGGGTGGTAGGGCCCAAGCACTGAGGCCGTCTTCCAGCTGCTTTGGAAAGATTTTTTTGTTTGTTTGTTTAAATTCATCTTACCTGAGGACGTTGTTCATTGCTGCATTGAGATACTCCATGCATTTGGATTTCCTTAGTTGCAATGATTCATTTGTGTGGATCCCTAAGGAGAGTGTTAGCAGTGAGGATGATGGTTTCATCCCAAAGTAACTCCTTGAGATTTTCTTTTTCAAATTCAAGTCAACTTATCCTAACTTCTCTGTTGCATATTATGCCCTTATCTAATCATACATGAAGTATGGGTAGTCTGCCACTATGTCAACTTTTTCCTGCTTCAAGTATCGTCATCTAACTGCAAGTCTCATCTTTTCTTCAAGCCAGGACACCTCCGACTACTTGAGAACACACGTGTGATGGTGTAATTTCTGCTTTTCTGAAAGAACTCGGAGGAGACCCGATATCGAGGAGCTTGGGGAACATCTCCGTCAGGACACAGTCCCTGCAGGTAAGCACAAGAACCAGGGCAGGGAGCAGCCCAGCCCAGGCCCGATTACAGTACCCACCAGCATACCTGTGGCTCAGATATGGGGGCAGGCCAGGCTGGCCCCGTTCTTGGCAGCCACGGGCAGATCTGAGAACCAGGACAGGGTGCAAGACAGGCCTAGTCGGGCTGTAACAGCAGCCAGTTCACATTTAGGATTGTGACTGAGGGCTGGCTAGGCTAGGCTAGGCTGCAGTTCCCACCAGCATGAGCTGGAATTAGGCACACGACATGCCAGGCCAGGCTGCAGCATCAGCTGACAAATGCCAAGGTGAGGCAGACCATGCCATACCAGGCTGCAGCACCCGCCAGTACATGTGAGACCAGGGAGAGGTGGGTTAGCGTGATAGGGTGGCAGCAGGGGTTCGTACTGGTGGGAGTGAGAACTGGGACTGAGGGCAGACCAGGCCAGACCAATACCCATAGGGCTGCATGTGAGCTGGGAAAGGCAGCAAGGCTGGGTGTCTATAAACACTGTGCATGCAGGAGCCAGAAGAAGTGCAGGCTGCCCAGGCTTTGCCACTCGTCAGGGCTGGCAAATGCTGGGATAAGTTCAACTCCTGTCAAGCTAGACTGTAGAACCACCAGGAGAGTGCAAGATCTCCCAGTAGGGAAACTTGGGCTCCTCTCTAATGAGCTGCGACTCCTACAGGTAAATGTGAGAAGAAGGACTGCGGGTGGGACTGTCTGGCCAAGCAGTGGCATCTACTGGAATGAGTGTGGGCTGATAACAGTGTTTGTTGGGTTGAACTAGGCTAAAACGCCCATTGATGTATACAAGAGCTGAATGGGATGTGTGTCAGACAGGAGCAGTCTGCTGCACATAGTGAGAAGTACATTGATGGTGATTTTGGGGGGTCACTCTGACTAGGCTACAGTTCCTGCTGGTATGTTTGAGGATCAAATGTGTAGTGGGCTGGGTTGGGCTGGATGAAGCATCCATTGGTTTGTGTAAGAGATGGGCTTGACACAGAACTGACCCAGCACAGCCTGATGTGTTGTCAGACTAAGCCAGACCCTGTACTGGCAAGCACACACAGAGTCAGGTCTGGGTTCAGCAGAGACGAAGTCTCTGTGGGATTCACCCAACTGAACCACTGCACTCCGAATTCCAACCGTGTGTTGAATCCTAGGACCAGTGGACTGACTGTGGAGTGCAAGTATCAGAAGTGGGCCTCTACAATAGCTAAGGCAGAGTAATGGATGGCATACCCAGGTGCACATGGAGGATATGCCAGTCCACTGGGAAGTGCAGTGGACATCTGCTACCACAGCAGAGGAAGGAGGGTAAAGCAAACTGTACAACTAGCCCAGCCAAGTGTTGACAGCATATATCTGGGCGAATGGAAACTCTAAGGTGGACTGTGTCAGCCAATGGTCCTTGGACGGATTTCCTCATCCTTGAGGCAACAAAACTAACAGCATTTCAAAACTATTGAAACCACTTGAGCACAACCTTCAGAGCATGCTTCCCATTGGGACCCTGGTATGATATTGGGTGGCCATTCCCCACCCCAGGTATTGAGGCAGTTGGAAGCCGAGTGCAGCTTCTCTTCTCATCTCCTCCCTTGCCCCCAGAGACAGGAGGAAGAAAAGGAAACTTGCAAACAATGATCTCACCCACTTTCCCCTAACCCTCAATCCTTCCCACCCCAATCAACCATGTAACATCATCATTTTAAAAAAATGTGATTTAGGGAGCTAGCGCTTAACATGGTGGCTAACATAGTGACCTCCTTCCAACATCAGAGTGACTGTTTGCTTGCTGGCTTCATCTCTTGAGTCAGACTTGCTGCCAGTGCAGACCCTGGGACAGAGTGATGATACTTATGTTTTTCTTTCCTTCCATTCTTTCTTCGTTTCTCTCTCTCTCCTTCTTTCTTTCTTTCTTTGCCATTGTTTTCATTTTGTTGTTGGGTATCTTCAGGTTTTTCTTCAGTGTTTTCTTAATTTTCATTGCAAATCTCTTTTCATCCTTAAATTTGTGCCAGGGTGTATATGTATGTATTTTTTGTATGTATTTTTGAAAGAAATTATTTTACTTGGAAAGGCAGAGTTACATAGAGTTTCCATTCCAAATGTCTGCAGTGGCCAGAGCTGGGCCATTGTGAGGCTGGGAGCTAGGAACTCCTTCCTTGTCTCCCATATGGGTGCAGGTTTCCAAGACCTGGGCCATTCTCCACTGCTTTCCCAGTCACTGGGTTGGGAAGTGAAGCAGCCAGGACATGAGCCAGTGCCCATATGGGATGCCAGTGCTGCAGCAGAGGATCAGCCTGCTTCACTGCTCCCGCCCCTGTGTGTATTTCTGTAGCTACTGTGACTGGGATTGTTCTCATCAAGTTCTTTCTCAGCCAAGAAAGAGCCTGTTGGCCTATCAAAATACTACTGGAGTAATTCAAAACAGTTTGACAAGAACTGGTATTAGCTGTTTCTTGGAGGTTTGGGAGAAGTCATTAGTGAAGGCATTTGGTCCTGAGCTATTGCATTACCAGTTATTTGTTCAAGTGTTCTATGTGTTTGTTACTCAATTTTGGTAAATTGCATGTTCCTGTAGATTTATCAGTTTCACCAGATTTCCTGATTTGTGGGTATATGTTGATAATAGTTCTGACTGACTCTATTTCTGTAGCAACCATTGTTTTCTCTTTTGTGTCTCATTCATGTGATTTTTTAAAAAATTAATTGTATGTATTTGAAATGAAGAGTGACAGAGAGAGTGGCCAAGATGAAGAGATTTTCCATCCCATCTACTTGTTCACTCTTCCAGTGGCTGTAAAAGCTGAGCCTAGCCAGATCTAAGACAGGAGCCAGTGTTTTTTAATTTCTTGAAAATTGTTTTTTTGGCCTACTTATTGTTCTATGTGCTGATGAAAAGGATGTGCATTCTACAAGTGTGAGGTGGGATAGTGTACAAGTGTGTTGGGTCTGTTGTGGGGAAGGAGTTAATTAGCACTGGTTAAGCTGAGCAGTAACAGGAAATGGGGTTGTGGCTAAAAGCACCTGGACTAATGGGACTCATTGGCATGCTGTTGTCTGGCTAAAGGACTTGGGGGAAAGAAAATAAAAGAAGGAATAAAGGGAGGCTTTGGAGAGACTTCCACCATGACTGTTCTCTTGGTGCTTCATCCTCAGACCCTCTCCCTGTCCAAATTACTGGCTCTGCTGACAGGAGCAGGCTCCACTTGGTCCTTGTGTGTATTGAGTTTGTTATTTCTTGGTTGACTTTTTTGTCTTGTTGATTTGTTCATAGATGAAAGTGGAGTTTGAATTAACCTGATATTATTACAACTTAAGTCTCCTTTTAGAGCGACTAAATTTCTGTTTATCAAATGGTGCTCTAGCATTCGGGGTATATGTATTTGCAGTGGTTATATTGTGTGTTAAATTGATTTCATTATCATTGTGTAGGATCATGGTCTCGTTAACCATTTTTGTCTTAAAGTTTACTTTGTTTATGATAAGCATGGTTAATCCCTGCTCATTTTCAATTTGTATTTACCTGGAGTATCTTTTTGCTTTTTTTTTAGATTTATTTATTTTTAGTCCAGGGGAAGTGGCGAGGCAGTTAAGTCCTTGCCTTGAACATGCTGGGATCCCATATTGGCACTGGTTCTGATCCCAGCAGCCCCACTTCTCATCCAGCTTCCTGCTGGTGGCCTGGGAAACCGTTGAGAGTACAGCCCAGAGCATTGGGACCCTGCACCCTCATAAGAGACCTGGAGAAAGTTCTTGGTTCCTGGCTTTGGATCTGCACAGCACTGGCGGTTGTGGTCACCTGGGGAGTGAATCATTGGATGGAAAAATCTTCTCTTTCTCATCTCTTCTGTGTATATCTGACTTTGCAACAAAAAGAGCAAATTAAAAAAATCTTTTTGTTTGCTTTTTATTGGAAAGTCAGGTTTACAAAGAGAAGAAGAGACAAAGATCTTCCATCTGTTGGTTCATTCTCCAGGTGGCCACAGTTTGCTATCTTCAAGTGCAGGGAGCTGGATGGGAAATAGAGCAGCAAGGATATGAAGTGGCATCCATATAGGATCCTGGTGCATTGAAGGCGAGGCCTTTAGCCAATAGGCTCCCATGCCAGTCTTATTGTGGTTTTGCATTCTTTCACTTATACTTTGCATTTTTGCAGACGAATTTTGTTTCTTGTGGGCCGCCTTTACATATTATTGTGTCCTTTTATTATTATTTTTAAATTGATTCATCTAATCTGTGCTTCTCAGAATTTAGTCCATTTACATTCGATGTTATTATTACTGGTAATGAGTTGGTCCTGTTTTATTTCAATTTTTTATTCAGATATTTGTTGAATGTTTCTAGTAGAATTCAAATTTTTACAATGAAAGTAGGATTTTTTTGCTTTGGTGTATAATTCTTTCTTTCTTTCTTTATGTTTCTTTCTTTCTCTCATTGTCTCTTTCACTGTCTCTCTTTCTCTCACTGTCTCTCACTCTCTCACTTTCTTTCTTTTCTTGTTTTGTTTTCTTCCTGTACCTGGGTCAAATGGGAAGGAAGGGAGGAGCGCCACTTCCAGCAGCCCAACTGCATCAGCACCCTAGGGATGCAGGACGGCCACTTGATGTCATCCCAGGGTCCCTGATGTGGAGCATGTTCCAAGGGTACTGCTTGTGATTTTGACACTTCTGACATGTTGTTGACTTCATTGCTCCAAGGTTGAGGAAATCCTTCCAGGGTCCACTGGCTGAAATAGTTCATCTTAGAGACTCAATTTGCCAGGATCCTTGCTGTCAAAGCTTGGCCAGGAGAGTTGTCCAATTTATTCTGTCTTCCATCCTCTGCCATGGTACCAGACGTCCTCTGGGGGTTTCAGTTAGCTGTCATGTCTATCATGTGCTTCTAGGCATATCATCCACTGCACTGCCATTAGCAAGTGTGGGTGCCCAGTTCTAACACTTGCATTCCACGGTCAGACCACAGATGCTGTGGTTTTCCCTATGCTTGGTGTTTTGAGTCCAGTGGTCCAGTCTGGGAGTATGGGGAGGAAGCCCCCAAAGAAACCTTATCTGTGGTAAGCCCAGACCCGAGTCTTGTGTGTCAGCTAGTGCGGTGACTGCAACCCCCCGGGAGTTGCAGTTTCTGGGTCAGTTCTGTCCACAGCCCCTCTCTTGGCCAATCAATGGATACTGTGGCCCAGTCCATCCCTGTGCACCACACACTTGGCGCTCATGTAAATCAGTGGGAACTGTAGCCTAGTCAGAGCAACCCCCAGTAATGCCCACCAGGCCCATCCCCACACCTAGTTCCTGTGCTTGCCAGCATGTGCAGCAGACTGTCTAGTCTATCCCACATCCCATTTGACTTTTGTACACGAGTACAAGTTGCAGCCTAGTTCACTTGACCGGTACCATATCCCACCCATATTTATGCTGATGGGCACAACCACCTGTCCAGCAAGGCCTGCCTCAGCCCTGGTTCTTGTGTTCACTGGTGGGAGCTGTTCCCCAATAGAGGGGTATCCAAGTGTCCCAATTAGGCCTGCTTCCAGTCCCAGATCTTATACTTTCCTGGTGGTTCTGTAGTATAGTCTCAAAGGATTTGTTCCCATTCCCAGCATGCCAACTGATGCTGCAGCAAAGCCTGAGCAGCCTGCACTTACTCTGGCTCATGCATGCCGTAGTGGATATAGCCACTTAGCCCAATCTGACTCCTGCTAACCCAGCTCAATGCAGGCCAACAAGTGTTGTAGCCCTGCCACACAGTGCAAAAGCCTCAAGCTGAGAGTGTGCATTTCAGTTGCTCCTCTCTGGAGCAGCACACCTTCTATTCTGGCTTCCAAGAACTCCCACAGGCAGAATCCCAGGAAACACAGACTCAGAGTTAAAACTCATTAAATTGGGGGATGGTGCTGGGGCTTGGCAAGTTAGGCACCATCTGTTAGCTGGCTTCTCTTATAAGCACAAGTTGCTGCAAGTTTCTCCACTTCAGATGCACGTCCCTGCTAATGTGTGTGTTAAAACCTTTGAAGGTGACCCGAATGCTTGGGCTCCTGTACCCACATGGGAGACTCTAAAGAAGATTCTGGCTCTTTGGGTTTGGACCAGCCTTTCAGTGACCATTGCATCCATTTAGAGAACGAACCAGCAAATAGAAGAGTTCTCTGTCTTTCCTTACCTCTCTCTGTAAACTGTGCTATTTAAATACATAAGGTTTTGGAAATTACTAAACAATGAAGGAAATATGTCAGAATAGACTGAACAGCAGGCAGCTAGGAAAGTGAGAGCTTAAGATTTTCAGTGTGTATAATATTGCATGTTTAGTAAATCTGATAATGGGGGCTTTAGAAAATCAGTTAGTTGAAAATTTATTTTGACAGAGTGACAAAGGGAGACAGTGAAATAGTGAAATCTTACACTGGTCCACCTGGCACAATGGGCAGGGCTGGGCCGGAACAAAGCTAGGAGCCTGAAGCTCCATCTGGGCCTCCCACATGAGTGCCAGGGGCCCAGGTACTTGGGCTCCTTACAAAAGCCTTAAGCAGTCTTCCCAGGCACACCAGCGGGGAGCTGGGTCACAGGCAGAGCAGCGGGGACCCAAAGTAGTGCTCTGATAAAGGATGCTACCACTACAGGCAGGAACTTAACTTGAAAGCTAAAGTAGTAGAGGCCCAGTGTTGTGGCTTGGTGGATAAAGTTGCTGCCTCCAACATGCCATATGGATGCTGGTTTGTGTCCCAGTGCTCCACTTGCAATCTAGCTTCCTATTAATGACCTGGGAAAAGCTGTGCATGATGACCCAAGTGTTTAGGCTCTGGCCACCCTTGTGGGAGACCTGATGAAGCTTCTGGCTCTTAAAAAACATTATGGGCTGGCAGGGTGGCATAGCAAACTAATACTCTACCTGTGGCACTGGCGTCAGATATGGACACCAGTTCAGGTCCCAGCTGCTCCATTTCTAGTCCAGCTCCCTGCTGATGACCTGGGAAAGCAGCAGAGGATTCAGCTGTGAGGAGTGAACCATTGGATGGAAGTTCTGTCTCTCCCTCTCTCTCTCTCTTTCTGACTCTAATATTTTCTTTTTTTCTTCTTTTTTAAAGATTTTTTAAAATTTTTCTTGGAAAAGCATATTTACAGAGAGGAGAGAGAGGAAGAGAGGAAAATTTTCCATTTACTGGTTAACTCCCCAGATGGCTGTAATGGCCAAACCTGAGGTGATTCTAAACCAGGAGCCAGGAGCCTCTTCTGGGTCTCCCATGTGGGTGCAGGGTCTCCCACGTGGGTGCAGGTTGCCAAGGCTTTGAGCCATCCTTGACTGCTTTCCCAGGCCACAAGCATGGAGCTGGATGTGAAGTGGGGCCGCCGGGATTAGAATTGTCTCCCAGATGGGCTCCCAGCTCTTGCAAGGTGAGGATTTAGCCATCGAGCCATCACAGTGGGCTCAGGCACGTTGCCTTGTTTTGTCTTTTCTTTAGAAAATACCATGTTCCTTCCTTTTTTTCTGCCTTCCTGACTGCCTTCCTTCTTTCCTTCTTCTCTTCCTTCCTTCCTTTCTTCATTTTGCTTAGGACAGTGTGACAGATGACCTTGTCGCTGGCGACCAAATGAGCCCTGCAGAATGGGACGTTTGTACCAGCCCTTAGACTGCTATGGCAACTGGCCTGGCTAGGAATGTGCCTAGAGCCCAGGGCCTTTGCCACATGGGTATGGTTCAGGAATGTTGCTGCCATTTGTCCCCTCCGAGTCCCAGAAGTGAGTCAGCTGTACCTCCCAGGAATCCCTGCCATGATCTGCTTTATTCGTGGTCCCAAGATGGTTTTGGTACAGTTGGGGAGCCCATGCCTTCCTGTTCAGTTGGCGTCTGATGCCACAGGATCTCTGACCTCAGGGACCAGATCTTTGGGATGTGCCCTGACCTCAGTGTACACAGCTGCATGTGGGACACTGCCTTAGCAGGCTCTTCTGCAAGAGAGAGGGACATACTCAGGAACACACAAAAGATAAGCCAGGCTACTCCAGTGAACCAGGACCTTAAATACCTCTCCTAAAGGCAAAAAGAATCCAGCACCTTTGCAGAGTAATGAGGACCATGCTGGGGACACAGCCATTGGCACTGACTGGAAATTCTCTGACTCCTGAGGTAGACCCATTAGATGACACAGAGATTTCCAAACCCAGACCAGGCAAGGCTCATGTCCATAAGCAGCAGGAAGTAATTGCAGAAGATGTGATGAATCTTCATCCTTCAGCAGTCCTTAAGATTAAGGTCAGAATTGGGCCCGGCACGGTGGCGCAAGTGGTTAAGTCCTCGCTTTGCACGCCCGGGATCCCATATGGGCGCTGGTTCTAATCCCAGCAGCCCCGCTTCCCATCCAGCTCCCTGCCTGTGACCTGGGAAAGCAGTCGAGGACAGCCCAAGGCTTTGGGACCCTGCACCCGCGTGGGAGACCCGGAAGAGGCACCTGGCTTCGGATTGGCATAGTATCGGCCGTTGCGCTCACTTGGGGAGTGAATCATCGGATGGAAGATCTTCCTCTCTGTATCTCCTCTCTGTATATCCGCCTTTCCAATAAAAAAAAAAAAAAAGATTAAGGTCAGAACTGTCTGAGGGAGGATGAAATGGAATAGGCAGGTAACTGCTTAGGCTCAAAGTTGGAAACCACGCACTCCTCCCCGACACTGTCATCCTATCCACCT